ACCCCAAAATATTTTAAAAAAATAAATACTCATACGATACAGGTATCATAAGAACTCAATTGACTGGACAGTTGATTCCAGCCCTCAACTTCAAATTAATAAACTGGCGTCTGTGGGGTAGTGGTTAAGCGCTTCATCATCCTACGAAGAAGAATGAGAACCCAGCAAATTTGTTTGTTTAGAGATGGTAATGAGCGTTTTCCTAGACTTTGTAAACGCAGAACAGAGTTGGAAGGCAGTGTACATGGCCAGCCTGAAAGCAAGAACTGATACAAAAGAAGAAGGAAAAAAAGAAAATCGACCGAGAGATACATTGTATTCAAAGCCAGCTTTTCAAAGCAGCAACGAGTACAGCCAAAATGTTGTCGTCAACGATCCCGACAATGATCCAGATCTTTCTGATTGTAACAAAGGGAAAACCTTCAATTCCTCAGCAGGCCTTTTTCATGGGATGATTGAACTCTTTGAGAATGCCAGTTTTTCATTTGGATTCTTCATACGTCTTGAAAACCTTCATTAATTTGGACTTAGAGGTTGCATCTCATCGGGCAGCAAAGAACATCTTCCCCGATCATCATATCATGGCCTACAATTTTCATCTGAGCCAAGCATGGAATGCCACTTCCTCTAGTGTACCGGTTACGCACTTCATCACCACACAAAAAGAGACTCGAGTTCGATTCCCGTTGGGAGAAATTTTTTACCGAGTATTTAGGTCTTTCTGTTGGGACGTTGTACCCTTCTCATTCCGGGTTGGCCCTGACAGGTAGGTTCGACGCTCGCCTCCTAAACAATCTAAATTGTGTTGTTGGGGGCGCTACTGCACCTACATCTTTTTTAAAAAGTAAGTAGGGTATAGGACGCTTCAAATTCTGAACCTTGCTTACAAAAGAGTAAATGAATTCCTCCCCCCTAAAATGGCTGAAACTTTTCTTTTGCCTCCCAGCCAAAGCACCATCAGATCAGAGGTTGGGAACTATTTTATAGATGTGTTATTCATATCTGCTTTTGAAAAATTTTAGGTGTCTTTATGCTCTTATGGAACCAATTTTGATCATATTTTGGAAGGAGTGCTTCCGACAGTGTTTGTCATAGCTAACCTTGGTTTCGAGGGATACAGCATCCACGCAGAAAGACCGTGTTACTCGAAAAAAAATTCTTTTCCCACTCAGGAATCGATCTTGGTTCTCCCGCGTATTACAGCGAATCGCAACTTTGAATTTGAGGTGGTCACTTGGCGCATTAATGCGAAGGTGAAAATTATCCGTTCCGGTCACCTGGCACAGTTGTGTGACAGTTGCGCGAAGTCCGTGGCAGTCACTCTCCTGGCTTGGCGACAGGATGGGGTATTTTGTACTGCAGCTGACTGTGTGACTGCAAAGTGTTAACCACTACAAAACAGACGCCAGTGTTCCTAAACTATGTGTGCGATGAGTAAAGATTCCACCCCGGCCCACAAGACCACACTTTCACCACCGAAACGGTCCACTTGGTGGACTTTTGTTTGGCGAAATCTCTCTCCTCTTTTTCTAAACACTCGTTTTCTTCCATCAAAACGACGAATTGAAATGGCGCCCATACTTGTTGATTTCTTCATTGAAATAGTGTTAGAAGGGCTCTAAATAAAGGTCGATAATCCAGTGATCCATTATCACAAAAACGTCTAATAATTGTGTTTTAAGACCGACTTTTCATTTAGTTGAAAGGGGTTTCGAACGTGGGTGTTAAGTTAACAATAACCCAAATCCAGGAGTCGAGTTGTGTAGGTCGCATGCGGCCCGGGGGCGTTGACATTCACACCTGTAATAAAGAGCATACACATGCCCTACAGCTTGCTATATATGTACTCGTCGATTTATGAAAGAAAAATTCTAAAATTATGCAAACTGAGCCAAAAAATGTGAAATTATGCGATTCTGTTAATTTTAACAAAGAATGATAAAGGAAAATAATCAGAAATTATGCAAAAAATTATGGAATTTTGCTTAATTATACGGGGTGCATAAAACCACGAGGACAGTTATATTATGGGTTTTACAACAATGTCACGGCGCGGTGGAATCAGTGGCTCGTCAATTTTAGGGTATATGGATTTATTAGTATCATCTAAAAGCTTATTCATTTGCCTTGCTTTCAATGAATAAAAAACCCCATCTATCTTATACTTGAAATGTACCTTCTTTGCTCTAAATTATTTGTTGTTTTATCACTTATCTCGTGCAACACTTAAAGTTCAGTAAATGAAACAACCCTCTTCAATAATAACCTCTTCACAACTGGTTTTATCAAGTGTTGTACGAGGTGAGAAAAAAATGCCTAGATAACCGCTCTAGTGGCCGACGCGTGATAGCACTGAAGTATCCGGTTAAGGTACTAAATGGCACAGCTTTGAATCAAAAAAGTAAAATATAATCATTAGCTATTCAATGTTGTACCAAGTACAACTGAACGAGGTACGTTATGCCTGTCATCGATTGATAAAAAAGACTTAAATTTGTTGGTTGTCATACAAAAAGATTAATGTCATATTGGTAGGTGTCTAGTCTTTTGGGGGTCATTTCGCTGCGGGCAGAGCTATGCTACATACATCTTTTTTGACCACGAGTTTTATGTGATGCGATATCCGTAGTGTTTGTGAGGAGAGGAAATTCGTTTTCTCTCAGAGCGACCGGAGTTTACAGGGCAGACTTACAAGGGACAAGCTCTGAAGAACTGACATTTTCCGGATGGTTTAAAAAGTGTGGAGAACAAGCAAGGTGGACTTTCAACAAAATTTCAGAGATCTGATAGGGGCGTAAGTTACAAAGAGGTTTTCCGGAAAGACAGCAACTGTCATATTGGATTAGGGTAAGGCATGCTTTCAGACAGATATACGCTCAGGGAGATATCATGCGTTAACGTGGATAATTTTGAGGTCTGAAAAGTATGTGGTTCCCCTGAAAAGTGACGAAAAAGTCGACCCCACCAGAATTAATATAATATAAGATAGATAGATAGATAGATAGATAGATAGATAGATAGATAGATAGATAGATAGATAGGTAGCATACTTCTAAAATAGTAAAACTTCGCTCATTTCCTCACCACCGAATAGCAACACAACTACTTGACGTCGGTAGTCTAGTGGTTAGGCTACCGCACTCGTTATCGTGAGTTTGTAGGTACGGGGGTTCGAGCCTCAGGCCTTTCGTTGTGTCCTTGGGAAAGGCAGTTTACACGAGTTTTCCTCACTTCACCTATAGGCAACAAAAGATAATGTGAGTTTGTGTTTTAGGACCTATAAAATGGCAACATGCACTGTATGTTTCCTAGAAAGTTGAGAATGTTTCACAATAATGCTACATGTATCAGGTCTGAAGGCTTAATAATGTAGATTATAAAGCGTATAAGGTCCTATTGAGCGGGAACTTTCGTTATACAAGTTGTTCAGTCTACTACAACAACAACTACTACTACTACTATTATTATTATTATTATTATTATTATTATTATTATTATTATTATTATTATTACATGTATCATTATCACCATCATCACCATCATTGTAACCCGACGGTTCAGTTCAAGGAACACGTATGCCACATATTTGATCCAAGCATTGACTTTTCTTTCTTTTCCCAAGCCGCAGCTCTTACTCCGTCAATTACCTTTTCAATGTCTTTTCTCTGTGAGCATCGGACTGTAAATAACTCGTTAAAAGTCTGGTCTTCACATCGAACAGATATGTGATGGAAAGAAACCTGCCACCACGGAAAAGTATAAAATTCGATTTGGCATATATGTTGTTGTTTTATCGAACAGTCAAATTATAAAATCCCCCCCCCCCCCCCCGCTCTCTCTCTCTCTCTCTCTCTCTCTTCTCTCTCTCTCTCTCTCTCTCTCTCTTTCTCTCTCTCTCTCTCTCTCTCTTTCTCTCTCTCTCTCTCTCTCTTTCTCTCTCTCTCTCTCTCTCTCTTTTCTCTCTCTCTCTCTCTCTCTCTCTCTCTCTCTCTCTCTCTCTCTCTCTCTCTCTCTCTCTCGTCTCCCTCTTCGACCTCAGAAACAATGACATTGTTCTTGGATTTACAGATAGTGATATCAGATATTAAACTTCATGTCAGTGCCATTATTAGTTTTTCAAAGGTGGCAGCTCTCTTCTCAAGAAAAAAAACCCTGGTTGTACAGGTTTTTGTGTCACTACGCGTTGGAATCATCTAGTAATTTTTCCCGCCCTGACAATATAGAATTACTGGTACAATACTTTTCATTAGCCTTGCTAATGATAAATATAACACTCATATATCCAGAAAATATGTTGAAATATTTTCGACTGATGGAAAAACTTGCAACACCGATACATGTAGGTCAAATGTCCCAAAGATGAGAGATGTTACAAAAGTGTAACATACAAAGAAAAGATGGAGAGACAAGGAAGACAGACGTTTGATAAGAATGAATGAGTAAACCGCTCCTGCGCGCCCGCCAACCACTCTCTCAGTTTGCATGACCAGACATGAAGCTTTGGTAAAATTAGAAAGAAATATTTGATACGTCATGGGATTATTTCCCATTTCATTCCAACACTGTAAGTAATTGATTGATTAGGCAGGTCAACTTGTATTTGAAATGTACAGCTTTGATTTTCGATCTCCCTGAACCAAGTACACGTAAAGACGTGAAAACTCGCCAAATGTCCCAGTCTCAAGAGTATCCCTTTTGGGTATCAAACCAGGGCCATCATTGTGTAGTCTTGCATTATGGATTACCATCAGAGTTATTGATGGGTTGCTCAAAACTTGAACACATACAATGGAACTCGATTACAACCAACTCAGATTCAACGGAAACTCGGATTCAACGAACTCGCTTACAGGGTGAACAGTCCCCGCTGAAGTGACTCCCCTCATTTTCCACCTGTAACAAATTTGATCTATTCCTGGAAACTCTCAACGGCACCTGCATGGTGGACCACAAATCGTTTAGCCAATATGTCGTATGCGACCAGTCAGCGGCCTTCTTTCATACCACACTTGCATTGTTAGCACCACACGTTTCCTAACGTGTGCCTAGTCAGACAGACGACCAGCTTACGTATTATTGTGTGTACGCATATCATGTGGGAAGGGGCACAAGCGGACCGGGCGTGGAACGTCATTATAGATACAAATACGTTGGTGTCAGTCATCCCTCCACCCCCCCCCCCCACTATTGATCTACGTAATGAATTTCACGCTGGTGTGTGGAAGCAAACGTTGTCGTATACATGAACAAGTTTTTGGTAAACAATAAGCCATGCATGGCGCAGGGGTCCTTTTGAACAAGTCAGACTTTTCTTGCACGGGGAGTTCTTGGCAGAGTTCAGTATATCAGTATATTTTTATTTTCCTGGAATTTATTAGCATTTCTTTGGTATGACATCAAAGAAACGGAAATGCCTCTAATTTGAAATCAAACTTCATGTATTTTTGATTGACAAAATAACAAGCATTTTCAAGGTAGCCTCCAACTTGTTACTTCCCTTTATACATTACTAGGTGACCCTAATAATCTTTAAAGAACCTCATGTTTGCTATAACGAACTCTTGGATTCAACGAAACTGAAGGTCAGGCCCGACTGCTCTGTTGAATCCGAGTTCCACTGTATTATCAAAAGTGTTACCTTTCCAATGTCAGCAGCCGTAGATCACTGTAGAGACCAGGGCACTTTGAGGAAAAGGAAGAGGGAGTGGAAAAGGAGAAGCCCCGGCTTGTTAAGAGTTTACCTGTGGTTGTTTTTTCTTCGCTCGGTAAAGGAAAGGGGTGGGGAAAAGGGAGGGGGGATATTTGAGGGGGTTTGCAGTTTCCCCGCCACCCTGCGCTACTTTTGCCTTCTGTTTGAGGACCAGGAGTCGCGAGAACAAGTCTGTGAAGCGAGTGCGCTAGAGCTAGAGAGCGGCATTGTAGCAGCCCCAGTCAAGTGTGTCGGCGGCCTCACGGGTTTGACTTTTGATCTCGACAGAGCCACCTTTGCTGAAGCCTGGGCCTGGCTCTATACCACTTGGCGTGCGACCACCGGACCTACTGAAGGTTGCCACTATGACAGAACGGCAGTTGAGAGACCAGCTGGCCAGTGGGTAGAGCGCAGAGAGCCACTCGGAGAGTGCCAAGTACACGGTGTCTTCCATATTTCCACCAACCCTTGACTCATCTCAGCGACCCGGTCGTGGATGTCGGCGACGCTTGCTTGTCTTCTCCAGTTACGATGCCTTTCCTTTTTGCTCGGTGAGATTGCGTGCACGAAGCGCGGACAGCCGCCGGGCCGATGAGGCTAATTCAGAAGTCAGTGTGAAGATTCCTGATCGATCGGCACCGGGGCTCCGGCTGCGCTCGCAAATACGGCGGGAAGCTGGAAGAGGGCGGAGCTCTTCTAAATCTGTGTGACAGGCCGCCAACCAATCAGAGGCTTAGATTTTATACCGAAGATTTCCAGGACAGCACTCCCGTTTTAAATGAGTTTTCCTTTAATTTCGGGCCCAGTTTAACTCCAAATCAGTTCGTAATAAAGATGAGCACAGAGGAACGTGATGCGTTGAACAACATGATGAGTGAACAACATCATCATCATCATCAGCACCATCACCACCACGGCCAGCTACCAGAGGGCGGTAAGGAGAAATATTTCATCTCGGTTTCTCTGTTACTAATTCATGTTTGATCTTACTGCTCCTCCAACAAGTGTGTGGTATGCGAAACATCCTAGAGCCACAAGAGGAGGGCACTCTAATCAAGTTACCGAAACCTACCGCTGCCTGTACACACCGCACGCAGAGTGCCGGCTCTGTCATCAGTTCTCATTTGCCGTGGCCGACGGTCTAATTTTCTTTCATTTTCGGGAAATTATCGCTCGGGAGTCCGATAGGGCCGGCTTCTCATTTAATTCATTTGTTCTGAAAGGAAAAGGCGACACTGTTGACTGCAAGCTTCATTAGGGCCAAACTGATCCTGATCTTGGACGCTTTCTGTGGTGCCACTCCTCATTGCCACCCATTTTCTCACCTATAAAGAAAACACTCTTCATGTCACACAACACATACACTCCATGGGAGAGGGGACTCCCCGACCTACCTCCTTTGAGACACCAAGGCAAGTCTGGTAATGCTATAGGCTGACATACTAGGCGCTGTTCTTTTCTCATAACTCAAACTGGAAAGGAGTTTTAAAGTTTTAGCATAACGAATTAGTGACAAAGTCGGAATATTGTACCGAAACAATGCTTCCCTACCTTTTTTTTCAATGCCACTCATGTTTAGTATTGGTTACAAACTTTACTCGATCCTCGACAAGACTTTCCTTTGATTTAAGTCCGTTTTTTTTTAAAGTTTCGCTCTTCTACAAAGTTACTTTTCCCTTGTTTGGAACAATCGGCGCGGCTGATCGTGGCCCATCCACTTGATTTTTAAAAGGCAGCGGCATTTAGCTAAACATGCCAACCAATAGATAACGTGCGAGAATGTCCACTGTATGTATACTCGTCATCTCCCCCCCC